CCTCTTTGGTCTGGGACAGAGAAACAACCAGAAAAGGGGACTGTACTGAGAACAAGAATGGAAAGGAGCAATGCCCCTGTGGCTTTTTTTTTCTGCTTTTTCTTCTCTTTTTCCTCCTCGCATCCCGCATCTCGATTTTATTTCCTGATTTCACCCGTCCCCCATGATCTCCCTTTGGTGCCCTCCTGCTGCTTCACCCCATCGTCATTTCACAGTTCCATGTCCCCTTTACCCAACTTCTCCTCCCTTCTCAGTCCCTGCCTTCATACCATCTCCCCCCCACCTACGCAACCTACCCCCCCCCCACCATCCCACCCCCTTTGTGAAGTCAGCCACTTTCCTTTTTTCCACAATAATTCAGGGAGATGTATGGATTCTGCACACCCGCTCCCGCTGCTCCGCTCCACACATCATCACCGATGGCAGCGATCTTCACGCGATCTCAATGTCAGAATGAAATTCCGTCAGTCCTTGGTGTCGACAGACGACTGTCAGAAAGTTGATTGGTTGAGAGCATACTCACACTTGGAACCTTTTTTTTCCCACTCGTCTCTGGACGTCATTGCGGCCAGATTCGTCCCACTCCGGCCGTTATTGCGATCAGATACGTTAGCGAAAGTGCTAGTGTGAGTATGCCCTGATTGCACTATACAGTAAGTCACACAGGTGGCATGACAAAAAAAAAAAACAAGAAAAAAGCAAAAATTCAGGGAAATATGATAGTTTCGGTGAAAATTTCACCTAAAAAAAAAAAAATAGCACCACCCATTAACCACGAGTGGCGTCCCCCTCCCCCCGCTCTGGGTGTCTCTTGCTGCAAGGCCCCTTCCCCACCGGCTCCGGGCGTATCTTGCTCGACGACGAGATCGATTCTGGGGTAAGGAAAATCTTAAACCAGGGGTCCGTTTCACAGCTATATTTTGTTCCGATGCGGCGGTTAACCCGCTGCAAAATCGAGGGTCAGGCCTACCAGAAGAAAGGAATAACGAGACGGTCAGCACGAGGCAAAAAGACTGAATTTCGTGCTGGAGGGGGTTGACTTCTTTTGAAGTGCGGCGGAAAACTGCATTGTGAAAAGCGACGCTCAGATGGACCATTGGCATCTCAACTTAGGCCTTCCATCGTAGCCGAGAGGCGGTTAACAGAGGCCTCCATTTTCAGACAATTTGTCATGCCATTTATAACAATTAAACCCAAGGGTCTTTCTTTTTTTTTTTCAAAACCCAAGGGTCGTTTTAACCAAATTTACCACCAATTTGTAGAGTGGAGAGCAAGGCAAAAGTGGCACTTCCATGAAATTTCGCCAACATTCCGATTTCCGAAATCTTGAGAACTTTCAGAAATCTCATCAGCTGAAATTCCAATGGCCACACAGCAAAACCTTAACCAAAATAAGAACAGGGAAAAAATTGAAAAAAAAAAACAAAAAAAAAAGCCATAAAATTTGACGCCCGCAAGGGCCCAAACCCTAATTCCAATGGCCCGAGGGATAGATGTGGCCCGAAGGATAGATTCCAAATTTGCGACACAGCACGGGGCCCAAACCCTAATTCCAATGGCCCGAAGGATAGATTCCAAATTTGCGACACAGCAAAACCTTAAACCGAAATAAAAACAGGCAAAAAATTGGGAAAAAAAAAACAAAACAAAAAAAAGCCATAAAATTTGGTACTCAGGAGCTCAAAACTGGGGGTCCCCGTTAAAACTTGTGGAGAGTTCCTTTGTGTATCCAAATGGCTTCCATGCTTACTTACGGAAAAAAAAAAAAACAAAAAAAAAAAACATGGGACTCTCCCATGGCGCCGTACTTCTGACACTTGCAGAGCTCAGTGGATCGCTTTTTTTTTTTTTTTTGTAAAAAATGCTAATACATTTCTTCCTGCAAGCATACTCAATCTGTCTGTAATCATACCCATAGCCCAGAGAGGAGGAAAAAACTATAGTAAAAGTTGTAAGACTACTAAAAAGGAAACAAAAAAAAAGGAAAAAAACAACAAAATAAGAGAGAGGGGTAAAAAAAAAAGGCAGCCATATGTACACAAAACAGTACACAGATTCAGTGGAACGTTCACCGAATGGCCAGCTCAGCAGATGGGATCGGCGAGTCGACCTGCAGCTGCTCAGCTCACAGCCAACGTGCAGGTTCGGCGAAAGAAAGAGACTTGGAAGCTGTGGTACCGAGACATCTTATTAGTTCATAAACTTCTTTTTTTTTTTTTTTTTTTTTTTTTTTTTGAAAGATTAATCCCTTAGGACATTTTTTTTTTTTTAAACTTCTTTTTTTTTTTTTTTTTTTTTTTTTTTTGGAAATGATCAGTCCTTCAGGACATCTTTTTAGTTTATAAACTTCTTTTTATTACTTTAATAGTTTTTATTTAACCATGAACTGTCGGGCGTGCTGACGCATTCAGCCTTTGCCAGTTGTAATGGAAGACTGCCGAAAAAATAAGTCGAGTTCTCAAATCACGAAAACAATTCAAAGAATCAAAAGAATCAAAACTCAAAAATGCAGCAGCACTGTAGTAGTGATTTAGCTCAAACATGACAAGCAAGCAAGCACCCTGCCCTGTTTTTGCCGATGTCAATACAAAAGATCGTTTGAAGTTTAAACACAAGAAAAAGCGGGTATATGTTTCGGCGGGAAGGCCAGGATATCCTGGCCTACCTTTTTTTTTTTTTTTTTTAATCCTACCAATTTTTAGCCATAGTCAAATGATATAGTTTAGTTGTGTTTCTGTGTATAAGTGTATCTGGAGCATAAACGTGGTGTGTGTGCTCCCACGTGTACTACAAAAAGAGAAAAAAGGTGTGTGATGGAACGGTGAAAAAAAAAATGCTGATAAAAAATTGATATGAACAAAATATTTAATGAACCATTCCCGCCCCAATCATTGGACCTAGTGATACGGTTTCTTGAACTTTCTTCCTTCTTCTTTTTCTTTTTTTTTTTCTTTTCCCCGCCAATCATTGGATCCAATGATTAGTTTCGACCTCAACCATTGGAACGGTGATAAAAACAAGTTAAGAAGCTAATCAATTGATATGAACAAAATATTGAATTAACCATTTCCGCCTCAATCATTGGATCTAATGACATGGTTTCGTCCCAATCATTGGATACATATTTAATGAACCGTTTCCGCTGCAATCGTTCGATCTAATGATTACGGTTTCTGCACAATCATTGGATCCAATAATTAGTTTCGTCCTCAACCATTGGAACGGTGATAAAAAAAGTTCCAAATGCCAATCAATTGCGATGAACAAAAGATTTAATGAACCGTTTCCACCGCAATCATTGGATCTAATGATATGTTTTCTTCCCAACCATTGGATCCAACGACTAGTTTCGTCCTCTAACATTCGATCTAACGATCTGCTTTATACCCAACCAGCGGATCTGATCTGCGACTCTTCCTTGTCTCCTACCGTCTTCCCCCGAACACAACGCACCCTCATTTTGGCTGTATCTGGCCAGAAATATGTCTTCTACACATTCATTTTTATGGTGCGTTATGTTCGCGGGAAGACGGTAGTGCCACTGCACGGTCCTCAGACCAGAGTTGATGGAAACGAATCCAATCCTTACGCTCCGACTAGGGGCACGATCGCAAAGAGAACAAAAAATTAAGAAGGGCACATACGCAAAGGAGTCGACATTAACCGTTTGTACCGTACCGTCTTTCTCTCGAACATCACTGCACCCCCATCGCGACCGTATCGGACCCCGGACGGAAATTCCGCTTGTATGCATTCATCGCCAGTGTGCGATATGCTCCCGGGAAAAGGCCCGGGACGGAAAGATCGCTCGTCTACCTCGTGCATTGAGCCTACCTCAATTGCAGCCAACTACCCGTCTTCGCCCGAATAGAACGCCCAGTGATGGTTAGTGCATGTGGCCTGCAATTTTTGCCCCAAATACAGCGAATGACCGGGCGACGGGCGTTCTATTTCGGTGAAGAAGGTAGTCCTCGTCTTCCATATTTACAGCTGATTTACCTACAGCTGCCGCTGCTGCCGCTGCTGCTGCTGCTGTTGATAATCCCTCTCGTCTTCGATTTGCATTACACTCTTTTACAAGATCGACGGTGTACTTTTTTTTCCCCCCATCTCGTTATTTAAAAAAAAAAAAAAAAAAAATCCACTCTGGGGAGTAAGCTCGCATATACTGTATCCTGTTCCATTTGTCTTTTTTTTTAACTTTATTGAAGTTTTCTTAACTTTTTTGAAGTTTTTTCAACTTTTGAGGTGCATTTTTTTTTGATTTTTTTTGTGGATTTGATATCTTTTTGCTGTTCATTTTTACCATGCTTTGCCATAGCAATCCCCTTCAGCACTGACTCTCTCTCCCCCCCCCCCCCCCCCCCCCCCCCCCCCCCCCCCCCCCCCCCGCCCCCTCCCTCGCCCTCTGCATTGACATTGCCGCGCAGAAGAGAGGAAGTCGGAGTCAAAAAAAAAAGGGGGCGCATTCGGAAGTGGGTGAGAGAGAACAGAAGAAGAGTATTGTGAGGGGAGAGAAAACAGACTAGGAGATGGGAGGTGGGAGATGCAGAAAAGTAGAGTGAAGGAGGAGGGAAGAAGAACAGGAAGACGTGAGGGTGAAGGTGAGTGAAATAGTCAGGGGCAGAGAAAATAAATGTGTGCCACTAAGGAAGAGATGGGAGCGCAAGGCCGTGAACCAACCTTATGCGTGATTGCCAGTGGACGATAAGAAACCAAATGCCTTATATACTACAACTGCAAGTGCCTATTCATATGTTCTAAGAAAGAAACAACTGTACAATGACCATAGTTTACCTGTGGAGCTGAGCTTTCCCCAGAGCACAGTTCCGCCACAAATACCTACAGACGCTATTTCGTCAAAGCCCCAACAACAGGAGCTATCACGTACCAGCGAGGGAAGTAACTGTGCATATCCGTCGCATGTATGCTATACATCGTGCAGGATTAGACCAGACAAGGAGGGAAAAATAGATGTGTGTGTGTGTGTGTGTGTGTGAAAGAGAGAGAGAGGGAGACAGAGAAAGAGAGACCAACAGACAGACAGAAACACATATCAGCCAGACAGAGACAAGGCGGGCGGGGTGAGAGAGAGAGAGAGAGAGAGAGAGAGAGAGAGACAGAGAGAGACAGAGAGAGAGAGAGAGAGAGACAGAGAGAGAGAGAGAGAGAGAGAGAGAGAGAGAGAGTAGGGAGGGGACAGGTAGTGAAACAATGCGGGTTACTTCATGGTGTTAGTTAGAGACTGCCGGACAAGGGAACGTGTGTCCCCTTCGCCGTGAATGTGAGTCGTCAGCCTGTATCATCATCCAATGTTAGCTGCATCTTCCAATCTATCTCATCATCATCAGCTTTCCTCGGGCTCTCTCTTTCTTCAGACAGCAATGGCATAAACCTATTGCCTGTGTATGGTGTCGACCCAATAACGACAGAACCACGAAACGGACGCGTTATTTTAGACTTTGCTTTAATGAACAAACCAGAGTGATCATCGGCAGTACCTGTGTGCAGAGGAGTGATTCCGGTCAGCAGTCCCCTGGGGCTTTCGCTGTACTCTTCCCTCCACGAGCTGGATGGCCCATAACTCCTTCCGCTTGTCTCTGCAGGGTGGTCTGAACGCGAAGGTCTCAGGTCATCGGAGCTAATGTGGGCCGCTGCTTCAGCTCCGCGATCTTCACGGTCTTCCTCCACGGCATCCGCTGGAAAGAAGTGGCTTCTCCGGAAGGCCTCGACATGAAGAGGGTGGCGGGGCACAGCCCCTTTCCTCTGCTCTAATGATTGCAGATGGGCATCCTTGTCATCCTGGTCGGCTGGCCCATCCTCCACCTCCTCTTTTGCCAGGGGTATTCCAGGTCCCATTCCCTGCTCTGCACCCGTTCTGTGCTCCCCGTCGTTGTCGTGACAAAGTTCGGCGTCGTTCACTTGCGATCGCACCAGGTACAACCTATCGAGCCAGTGCAGCTGAATGATCTGCTCAGAGTCTAACTTGAGCAACCAGGCCGACTGATCGGTAGCACTTGTCGGGAAAGGGCAGTGACCAGCCATTGCACTCCCATGCAAGTGCCTAGACGAACCTGCTGCACCGTACCCGCCCACCCCACTCCTCCATGGGTCTCCGAAAGGAAACCGGTGGTACAAGCTACCTGCCGCAGGCCTGGAGCCGTCCCCCGCTCCATTCCATGGGACCTCCCCGCTGCTCTCCTGGGGCTGAAACGCGCGAGCTGAGCGAAACGAGTTACGCGACACCGGCATAAATCTTCGACTCCCTGCTGGAGAACCGACGTCATGGCAGCTAGTTTGCGACAAGTGAGTCGCTTGCGCGCATTGCTCGACGTCCAGTTCCTCCTGATGAGACCGGAACTCTGACAACGTCTTCAGTACCTTCTTCCCCAGGTCCCCTGGTTCCCAATTGGGATAGTTCGCCTTGAAACTGTCGGAATCGCAATAACCGACAGAAAAGAGAAATGCCCACAGGACACAAGTTAGGTACGTAAGTAGCACGGGGGGGGGGTGCAAAATAGGTGTGGTCGGAGAAAAAGAAGTGAAGCCATCGACGACAAGGCACGGGACCCATTTGTTAAGGGAACGGTACTCACACAAAACTGGTGGTAGACAGATCATGGGTCCCAAATGGTACACAGAAATGGGACTGTTAGAGGTAAAGCAAGAATAGACACATGGCACCCAGGTGGCCATGTGTTTGCAATCGAGGCACACTCGAACACATTCTTTTTTATATTATTCTGTATCCAGTTCTTTCTTATCTGTGCTTCCTTCTTTTATGGCTTTTTTGGAAAAGAGCGGTGCAGCACTACGCCTTCACAACCATCAGTAATTCAGCGGTCTCCTTAAACCACCACCCCCTTTTCCCATGTGGGACGCCGTCAGGCCCCCGAACAATCTTTAGGAGAGGCCGAACCGACACAACACGATGGCCGCCGATGGCGGCCGGCATCGGGCCCGGCCACCGAATTTTGGGGGTAGGATAGTTTCCCATTTTCCCAACAGCGGGAAAGGTAATGGTGTTTTTTTTCTTATATTAAAAACAACAACAACAACTGTGCACCGCGTAAACGCTTCGGCTCACATTGTCAGGCTACGAATTCCACAAATGCCCCCCGCCTTCTTTCCTTCAGGAACCCCGTCAAAATTTGAATTCCGAAAAAGCCCCCSCCCCCCCCCCCCATTCCTGTCCCTTCAGGAAATCCGTCAAAAAGTGACAAAAACTGAATAACACAGAGACTCTTAGCATGGTTCCTGCAGGAAGATGAGACGCGCGGATCCAGAAACGGTCAAATTGGAAAGCGAAAAAAAGTTTAACAAACGAAAAAAAAATAATAATAATAAAAAAAACATATGCACGTCGCTGCGATGACGGTCCGGTTCGGCGGTCAAACAAAAAAGTGCGTATGTTTTTTTTTTTTTTTCCTGTTTTTTTTTTTTTTTTGGCTTTTCAATTGGGATAGTTTGCTGCACGACGTGAACTGTACTAGCACGTCACGACGGTACAGTTCACCCTGAGGAGAGATCAAGGCCACAAACCTTATGAAGGATTTCTCCATCTTCCCCTGGGAGCTCCGACGGTCCTTGCTTGTGTGGCATGGCGATCCATACCGCTTGTTGCCGTGCATCTCAAAATCAAACACACTGAGACTGCATGACACAAGAAAAACAGATATGCCAATCAATGTCAATTTTTGCCATTGAAATTGAGAGAATGTATTAAAAAATGCCAATCAATGTCAATTTCTGCCACTGAATGTACTAAAAAATACCAATCAATGTCAATTTTTGCCAATGAATGTACTAAAAAATTCCAATAAATGTCGTTCTTTGGGACATCCGTTAGAATTGGAACGACACACAGAAAATTAACATGACCTCTGCACAAGGATGACACGCATAAATCGAGAGATGGGCCAAATTAAAGATAAGAAAAAAGAAAAGCCACAAAAAAAAAGCCAATCAATTATCGATGTCTATTTCTCCCATTGAATGAATCAAGAAACGCCGATCAATCATCAATGTCCTTTTCTTTCCATTCTACGTATTTCAAAAAGACTCAAAATCTTAAACCACCACAACCGGCAAACATGAAATCTCTGGTGCCTCCTGGCGCTACTGGACCACAAACTGGACCACAAAGGCCCGTCAAAAGAAAAACAAAACCGCCACGGGGCGCTACTGGACCTGTCTCTTATACACATCTAGATGTGTATAAGAGACAGCTTCAACAGTTCAGGGCGTACCAACTCTGAGCTGGGACAAATGGTACAATCTCCGGGACAGTTGGTACTCTCTCGTCTGCGTGCAAGACCGCCAAATGGAATGGAAGTCTCCAATCACAATCCCTTCACCCTCTCAAAGTTTTGCTATGCTGATAGCATCATGTCGGTATGCTTGGTCACGAGTCCAATGATTTGCGCCCCGAAAAAAAAAGAGAAAATAGGCCCCTTTTTTGCGAAGAGTGCGGCTTTTCCCCGGCTGGAGGACGCTTAATCTTTTCTTGAGTTTGGATTACGACGCCCTGCACATTAGCTCGCTTGGTTTCGACTGAGTCACATAGGTGCACACGCAAGGTGTGGGGCGCTTACTGTAGAATCCTGTAGATAGATATCTTGTATGCCTGAGTGGGAAACTGGTGTCCTTCTGGAGATTTGTCGGGCCCCGCGCATGCAAAAAAAAAAAAATCTCAGAAAGTCAGACTCAAAGTTCACTCTTTGACTAATGTCCTTGGACTCATTTCAGCTTTTCGAATCATTTTTGTCATTACAGACATGTTCAGTCATTCTCGCCATCCCCTAATTTATTTGCCACCGATGTTCCTCCAAAGTCCACATGATGTCCCGAAGCTTCTGTTCCGACTGCTACTTACTACCACGTCCTCAGTCATAACTTGATGTTCTACCCCACCCCCCACCCCTCCCCTGCCCTCCCCTTCCCT